TTCTGCAATCCTATGCCGCATCGGCAACAAGACTCACGACCTTCGCCCATTTCATACGTTCCTCCGTTCTGTGGGTCAATTTACTTCCCATTGAACAGTGCGGAGGAAGGCTCTGTGGAAGGTGGTCCATATCTACTGTGTCTCTCCGCAAATTACGCAGGGGGTTGCTTGTTCGAAGCGAGCCTGAGCCATAGTGGGATCTCTACAGTCTTTTTACTCCAGTCTGTTGGAAAGTGGTTCCAGTAATCTAAAAGCTTAGGTTGGGTTCCAGTGTCACTGGAGGAGTGGAATCCTGGTTGGATCTTTCAGTGTGGTTCAACACTTGCTCGCTCGACATGCAAATCTAACTCACTTATTTCAAACTGAATTCTACCCAAGGAGGCTCGGTAGCGGATGGTCCGCGTTTGCAACACTGATCTCACCTCCCGAGGTGAGAAGGAAGTTTGCTGGAGCTCGAGCCCGAGCCATGGTCGACAGGACTAGGTATTTTTAAAAACCTCTGCTCTCTGCTGAGAACTTCTTCAAACGTATCATTTTGGATGCATTCAAGAATAGTGATGGACTGGAGGGCAAGATGCTTTGTATAATAATATCCAACGGATTCCAACCGTGGCCTTGCAAATATTCAACTCGCACTACAGTACGTTCGAGTGCATCAAGAACCTGGAATTCATTTGATGAACCTTTCTCGAGTTCAGTCTTAGTCTTAGCCTTATAGGTTGGACACGGGTGAGGTGTAAATCATTCAACCTGGAGCTACTTACTGTAAAGCCGGAAAACCCGAAGATTAAACCCGCCGGTTTACGGGCCGTGCCGGCCGGTTCAACGACAGAATACCCTTGATTCTGATACCTTTCCTGCAAGAAAATCAACCCATCGTGTCGAACTCAAAGGTACCTGAAAGGCTCGAGAGTGGGTAGTCCGCAACTGCGACACTTCAGCCGCATCCTTCAAGTGCTTCAAGTTTCAGGAATTATTTAGAAGTTTCTCATTCAAATCGAGCCTGAGTCGTTTGTATGGAGGATCGTTCTGTTTCACTCTGCACTCTATTGGAATTGGTTTCAATTCAGTTCAAGGTCAGCATAAACCCCCTGCACTTCCCTGGAGTATTCAATGTCGGTAGGTCGGTTCAATGTCTGATTCTCAACTCACCTTCCCCTCAGCATCTGGAAATTAACCTACCTAGTTCAAACTCCAAAGTGAGCAGTGACGCTCAGTAGAGTGACGGATGGTCTACATCTGTAACACTAATTTATTAATAATAATACTTACGCAGAAGTTCGTCCGATACAGGGCGAAGCACCGAAGCCATCCACCGGAACTGAACCGTTTTGTGCCTCTCGCCTTCTCTACAGCTCTTAAGCACTTCGAGTGATAAATTCCTTCCCTCTCCAATGCTCGTAAATTATTCCATCGACCCAGGCTCATTGATTTGAATTGAACCCCATTGAGGGTTTGGACTACGTCTGCCGAATTCCTTATCTACCCGTTATGCAACAGCCTGACGGAGGGTACTAGTACTTGGGAGAACTTGAGAGAACAGTGCTACAGTCTCAGTGCAGAGTGGTTCTGCATCCGTGAATATTACACTGTTCGTAACAAACTGCAACAGAGGTCGCCTGTTCGATTCCAGCCTGGGCTATGCGGGGCCAACTAGCACGAGTTTTTTATTCGTAGCGTACCTCTTCTACTCTCGTCTCTGACTCTCGTTTCCTTTTTATCGTAAAACTCCTCTGCCCCTGATTGTTTGCCGTGTAAATTTTTCGGTCAAGTCGCAACTTGAAGGTTATCAGTTTGGGAATTGAATGCAGTTGATTCACCAGTGGTTTATTTGATTTGTTTATACTTCAGTGTGGGGAAGGTAGTGAGAACTTCGGGAGGGGGGCTATGGGCTCGGGGTCTGCATCTCTGAATATTGAGCGGGGTATTTGCGAATTTTCAACTGAGGTTGCCTGTTCGATTCGGGCCTGAACCATAGCGACTTTGCAGTTAGTTTCTTTTCATGTGCTTCTACCCCAGGTCCCGAGAATCTATCTTCCTTGCCTTCTCCCAAAGCCCCTCATCACCCACACGTTTCAAATGAACCCCTATCTTTTTTATTTTCGTGTCACTCTTAGTGATGCCATCAAATTTCCTTTTTAATCCTTTCTTCCTACAGCCTCCACCGCCATGGCCACCTTTCTCTGAGACACCTGCCATTGTCCCTCCCTGTCTTACCCCCATATAAATACTGTTCTGCTCTGTGTCAATGTCCCACTTCACTGGCACACCCGCAATTTCACCCAAAACCGCACGATGCTGGACCACTACTATACGCCGCGCGATTTACCTTTGGACGACGTCGCGGTAGGGGTAGCTTCTTTGCAAGATGAAGAGCCTATCTTCCCTCTGGCTGGCACCTCCAACTTGTCCTTGGACTCGAAGAAGAATGGCTTGGAGAAAGATGCTCTAAGGCCACGCGACACGATCCTGCACGACCTCCGCGTCCTCACTGACTTTACCCTCGAGTTCGACTGCGACTCGGGGAGCGAGGACGAGAGCGGGAGCGACGATGGCTATGTCTCCACCCTGCTTCGACTTCAGCGTCAGCGCAACAATCTGTTGGCGCGCGGGGTGAATGACGTGGTGGGCCTGGGCTTGGGGACACCGGAACGGAAGATTGCGGGCGCGAGGAGAGTGGCGAGGGCGGTGTCGTCTCCGCAGGCTGTCCCGCGCGCGATGGTGGAAGACATCGGCGTTGGGGTGGCGACACAGGACGTGCAAGGGACCCGCAAGCTGGAGGGCGAAGTTTTTCAAAGCATTACGGCCATTCCTGGGTTGGAGAGTATGAGTTTCGAGGTGCGTTCTCCCGACTACCTTTATTTGTCTCCTTCGTTCCTACCCTTTGCACCCCTATTTCATTTTTCACGTTTGGCCGCATTTCGGTCGTGCGCGCTCGTTCCTCTCATACATATGTACTACGGCGCGTCCTCTTTCTTTGTGTTCGCGGCATGCCGCGTCGAATTGCGCCATACCCACGCGTTCTCGCGCTCTTTCGCTTCACCCGCCCTTGTCGGCCCAATTTCTGGCCCGCATAAAAAATCCTTCGTGTACTAGGGGGGGCATACACTTTGTCGCAGCGACAACACGGCCATTCTGCAAGGGCCGTGCGTGCGTTTCGCGCCGTATCCCGCGCCCGTTGGCTCGTTCTTTTTTCTCTCTTTGCGCATGAAGGACAACGCACGTCCAGCGCACGTACTGCGCTGTCCCCTGGTCTTCTGCGCGGTGCTCTGGCTTGTTACGCCTTTCCTGCTTTTTTTTTCTAGAGGGTATACTACAGGCGTGTCGGCCGCCGTGCCACCGGTGTCCTGATGGCGCAACGCACTCGCCGCGACTTGATCTGAAAGACCCCCCTCCCGCACTGCTCCTGCACTGCGCGGCGCTCGTCCCCTCCTGCCCGGTCTTCGCTCCTTTTGCGCCGCCCTATTCCTATTGTGCCATCTCTTATTTCCCTTTTCACTTGGCCTCCATCCGCCAGTTAAATCTCCCAAGCCACCTGCTGACTTTTATATTTTCCTTATGTAGGAACTCCGCCTCGAAACCTACCTCCAATCTCTCATCGCCACCGGCACCGCGCGCCCCCAGCCCGCATTCTGCGCTGCGCTTGTGATACCACCCGCGTTCAGCGCGCAGTTTTGTGAGGCGCAGGAGGAGGATGGGGATGGGGAGGATGGGGACGGGGATGGGGATGTGGAGATGGGTGATGTGGTGAGTTGTTTTGCGTTCCGTCCCACTTCGTAGTACCTACCTTGCGTTCCACCACACCTCCTCGTCTGCGTTCTTCAGGTGGCACCCCCTCGTTTGCGTTCTTGGTACCACCTACCTGCGTAGCCATCTTTCCGTTCCCTCCTGCCTCTTCGCGTCGCAACGTATTACCGTATCCGGTGGATGTGGGAGGCAGCGGGCCGCACCGCTCGTGCTCAACGCACCCGCGCAGGAAGCGCACTAGGTACTACGCCGCGTGCCTGGTCTATACTTCTGTGTCCGACTAAGCGGTGGATCTCCTCGCCTTCCTTCCCAATCCTTTAACCTCCTATTCCAATTCCACGTTCTCTCTTTCTCGTTCTGTCGTACTAACTCTCCTCTCTTCTCCTCAGTTATCGCCCTCAGCGTCGACCTCCCACCCAATCCCCCAAGCCGCAGCGCACCCGCCCTTCGTCTTCCGTGCAGCCTCCTACCCGCCCGCGCACGCGCAGCAGTGGGGCGGGGGCGGGTTTCGCTTTGGGGCTTAGCGATCTCACGACTTGATCGCGGGATGCACCGTCCCCTCACCCGCCGTTGTCGAGTGACACCTCCCCCCACCCGCCCTTATCGACGTCCGCGCGTCCCGCCCTCATCGACGTCACGCGCTGTGTCTACCTTACCCGCGCGGTCGTGCTCCTTCCTCGTTGACGTCTACACCCCTCCTCCTTCTTATGCACCTCCCTCCGTGTCCCCCCTCGTGATGCTGCCACCGTCCCCTCTCCTTCCTTCTTTCCGTCTAATCCTATGTATGCACCCACCCATGCCGTTCCGTCGCTTCTCCCCATACGCCTACCTCGCTCCCTCGCCCTCCTCGTATGCCTTTCTCCGCTTGCCTCGCGCCCTCGCCCGCGCTCCCCTCGTTCGCGTCGCCCGCCATCGTTGTTGTATGTATCCTATCCGTACTCATATCTACCTCCCATCTACCTCCCATCTACCTCCCATCTACCTCCCATCTACCTCCCATCTACTCATCCATTCCCATGCTCCCTACCTATACGTCCCGACGTCCCGCGGCGAGCTCCCGCTGTTTAAATTGTTGTTTTCCTATCTTATGTTGTCTTTATAGATTGAATCAGAATACTAGCCGTCGCCCACTCACCTTTGTGCTTGCTGAAGTTGTTGGTAGTGGCTGGCGGGAGCCGGCACCTCCAATTAAGGTACGGACGTAATGTGGGTGCAATGGAAAAAGGAAAGCACAAAAAGAAATGATATATGTAGGCGTCCGGTGGGAGTCGAACCCACATCCTCTTAATTGAGCGGATATCAAATTCACGGAGAAGAGGTGCTTCCAATTAAGCTACGGAGGCGTGACGGACGTAAGGCGGGTTCGTATGCACTGCAGGGCATGAGAAGGGGAAAAAGCGCTCGGGCGGCGCTCCTTCTGGGCTGTTTCACTGCACTCAGCTGCACTCATTCATCCGCTCGATCGAGGCGATTCATGATGTGTACGAAAGCAACAGCTTGAACTTGAAGAATTCGAAAGAAAAAAATCCAGCCGGACAGGCCCGAAAATGAGGTGCTTCCAGTTAAGCTACGCAAGCGTGATGGAAGTAGGATGAGTACCTAGGTGCAACGAAAATGAAAGAAAAAGAAAAAGAAAAAAAAAACCGTTTCAAGTGAAGTTGGCCGCGCATGCCTCCCGCAGGATTCGAACGCGCTATGGTCCTCGTAAACTCCAAACGAAACGTTGATTAAGAGGGCTTTAAAAGGTCCTGTCCCTCAGTATGGAAATGAACAGAATGGGACGTGAAGAAACGTGAAGGAACTTTGCAAAGAATGAATCAGAAAGAGATTGGACTCGGAAAGAGGATCTTTGAAAAACTTGTCTCACAATCAGGCTCAAGCCGCTGGTGGGAGCAGTTTCAAGCCAACCCTACCGATGAAGAAAAAGGCAGTAAATTCGCCGGCCTGACCATCCACATTCCTCGCAACGATGCAGCGTAGTACCAGCACCGCCGCTCCCAGATACATGAGATATACGCTGCCAGAAGACTGTCAGTGCACACCGACCTTGAAGGATCTCGCAGGGGCCCAACTTCTCCGACTCGTCGGGGATGCCCGAGCTTGCAAGTATCCGGTGAATCGGGAAAGAGAGCTATGATCATGAGCGTGAGGCTACGAGTTCGACCACATGCCGATAGAACGGGAAGTCAGAAGCATGAAGAGGACATCAGGGTATCAGAAGCATGAAGAGGACATCAGGGTATCCTGACGACGACTGCAAGTACCCCGCGCGCAACTAGCTTCGGGAAAGCTTCTTGCAGCAAAAATTTCTCCTCCTTCTCATCCTTCTCCGGCGAATCCCACGGATCTATCTCGCGGATGATTTCCACCTTTCGAAGCGCAGGCATCTCAGAAAGCGTCGCGTCGAATCGTTCAATATTTCCGTCCTCTTCATACCAATCGATACCCTCGTCGATGAGCCGGATGCTGGAGGTTTCTATGCAGTTTTGTTTCGGGAGATTGAACTTCAGGATGTGATGTGCAATATCGGCGAGCTCGTCCACGCTACCACACAGTTTCAGGTGGGTCAAGGAGGGGAATTGGCCGATATCGCAGTCTGCATGAACTGCGTTGGAATTTAAGTCAGTTTGTGTTCAAGTGGGCATGGACGTAGTTACGAGGGAGATAGTCTAGATGCTTCAGCGTTGACCGGCAGAGCCCCAGTATCTTTGTAATGGCGGGATTGCCTGCGGTATGCATTCTGACTGTCTCCAGATGGGATAAATCGAATGGGCATCCCGGGTGGATGAAGTATTTCCCTAGCGAGGAGCTATGGAGCCCAAGCATCTTTATCCGCGGGCGTGACGTGGAGGTAGGCACCTCGAATATTCCAGATTCACAGAGCATTGAAAAGCCCGGCAGGTGCACTGTCTCGAGTTGTGGGGAAGGATCGCGGAACATGCGTGCGAGGGTCGTTAATTCGCCCCCAGGGGGGAGGCAGCTCAGTCCGATGCTGATTTCCACCCTTTTCACCGACGGTAACGCAATGAGCTTCTGCGCGTATTCAAATGGATGTAACAGCTGTTGGCCCCACTGCTCCAAGAGGATCTCTTCGATGTGTGTCAATCCCAAAGCACACATTGGGGCAAGTATTTCTGTTCGAAAAGGAAGGTGGAGGACACGAATGAATGATATTAGGTGTGGAGAAGCACTCAGAGCTGCGCTCAAACGTCCCGATGCGTGATCGGCTTTGCGAGGCTCGAGCAACGCAATCCGCCGGAAGAGATGGAACTGGGCCCGATAAGTCAACGAGCGCGACACGAGCGCGCAGGATTTGAGGGCCTCTTCAGAGTCGGCGAGAAAGTCGATAATGTGGTCCCAAACGTCTTGTACAGGGAAGCCGGGCGGGGGGAGCAGACTTCAAGTTGGACATGAGGGAGGAAGCCAAAGGTGTTTGATCCCGATCACCTGGACACTACTAAAAGCAACCCTAAACAGTCCTCAAGTCCTTGAAATAAAGGAAACTGACCTGTAAGCGGCAGATAAATCGTCCCTTGCACCACGGTTTTTTTTTTTTCGTTGAGTTACTGGATCTAAAATACACTCCCGCTTCAGAATTCCAAATCGGTTTGCGTAACCGTTGCCCCTGGTTGGACTTTCACCTTCTTATTCAAACTCGCCGGCAGCTGGCCTGCTTGTGAATATATTCAACTTCCGATTCTGGACGGGATTCCAGGAATCATCAGAGACTTCATTGAGGCGGGAGCGGCTACTGGCTAGGACGTTGAGAGGTAATGTAATTTAGATTCAGCGCTGTGCTCTTATCTATGTACATGTTAGATCTTACTACCTCCCGCCTCCGACCATCTGCCTCCCGTACGTAAACCTTCGGCTGGTCGGCGTCTTTCCATAGGCGCGACCTTCAGCGCCGACTTCATACGCGCGATCTTCGATACCGACTCCTTCAAGAATCAAGACACGGAGATGTCGGTGTATCCAGTGTCGACAAGTGTGCCCCGATCTCGGGGGATTGGGTGTATGATGATGAGGAAGGAAGCAAACAACAAAGCTCGAAGCTCGAAACCAAAGCTGGTCGGGATCTCAGACACGTGGAGATCCCTCATCCTTCAACCTTTTCTCGTTCGCCTCTTCCTTCGCTTCATCTCTCGCATCCTCCGCTTTCACCCTCACCTCTGCTTCTTCGCCCTGCGTCGCCTCATCCACCCCAGTCCCAGATGTCTCCGCTGACGCTGCCGAGTCCGTCCCAGAGGCTGCGGTCGGATCGAGCAGGCTCGAGTCCGCCCCCGCGTCGAGCTCAACCTCCGGGACCGGGCCTTGCATCGTCTCCAGCGGCTCGAGCACCGTGTCTTCCATCATCTCCGGCGTCCGCGCTGGCATCGAGGAAAAATATTTCCTCCTGCGGCTCCGCCTCTTGCGACTCGAAAAGCGGCGTTGGTTTGAGAACCTCGACTGACTCGGCAGCGGGCGCATTAGCGTCGAAGCCGATGCCAACGTCGCGTTCCCGTACTACGTCTGAGATAGTCTCTGCGTCCACATCCACGGTATGGTCGGGCAGCAGTTCCGCCTCCAGCACTGTATCTTCCATCGTCTCCGGCGGCTCAAGGACAGCGTCAGCAGCCGCGTTGGGCAGCAGCCTCTCCTCCGGCACCTCCTCCTCCGACGAATCAAAAAGCTCGGGGTCAATCCTCCTCCACGGAGCCAAGGCCGACGCCAACATCGCGTTCGTGTGCCGCATCTGAGATGCTCTCCGCGTTCACGTCCACGATAGGCTCGGGTTTGGGTACCCCGGCGACGAGTTCTAAGGGGTTCTGCGTTATCGGCTCCACGGACCTCTCCACTGCCGCTGAGTCGAACTCGAAGTCGCTTTCTGAATCACTTGACGAGGAGGAGTCCGATTCTGAAGAGGTCGAAGAGATGGTGGTGCCGGTGGCCGTGTTATCCGCTCGCGGCATCGTTCTCGCAGCAGCGGATTCTGTATCGGTAGACTCTGAATCTGAATCTGAATTGGAATCCGAAGACGACGACGTGGAATCCGAGGGCAAGTTTGAGGCGTCGACAGAAACGGCAGCGGTGCCGGACAACAGCATACCCTCCAGCTCTGCTATCGCCGCCGCCGGCCTCTTCGTCGCCTCCTTCTCCTTTCTTTCTTCCCTCCATTTATGCTCTCGTTCCTTCTTTCACTCCTTTGCTGACCTCACACGCGGCTCCTCCTCTTCCACTTGCATTGACTCCTCCTCATCTTCATCCTCCTGCTCCACCTGCCTCGCCATCTCCCGCTCACCACGGTGCTGCATCCTCCTTATCCGTTCCCGAATCTCACTGAGGCGTTCCTTCCCCCACGTTCCCTCCGCTACGCCACGCTGTCTCTCGCGCTCCTTCTCGCGCTCGCGCATCAGCGCCTGCACGCGGTGCTCCCGCTCCAAACGCCGTGCCCACCCCTCGCGGGCGCCGTCGGTCTCTGTCCCCTCCATTGCCGTTCCATCGGCCGACGCGGATATCAAAGGAAACCGCCGATCCATCGTCTCGGGCCACGGTGTCATCACCAAGTGCAAGCCCGACTCGGCGTACACCGGGATCTGCACGGGCAGAATTGTTAGTGCGCGCTCCGCCATCCGAGCCTCCCCACACGCCACCAGCGCATGCAACTCGTACGTCGACACCTCCTCGCCCTCGCCCGCCTCCGTCTCCACCTCCCCGAGCAGCTGCTTATCCAAGGATTCAGAGCGGATGGGCTCGCGCTTCGAGCGCACGAGCACCTCCCGTATCCAAACGTCCTCCAGCGCGCCAAACGCGCCAAAGTCCGCGCGTATCTGCGCCTCTGCCTTCATGCGCGCCAACGCCCGCGCACGCTCCTGTGCCTCTGTCCCTTGGCGTTGGAGTGCTGCAGCGAGTTCGCGTTCGCGGCCGAGCGCCATCCGCAGGGCGCGCAGGTACACCGCCGCCGCCGCGTCGCCGTCGTGCTCCGAGTCCGCCTCCGTCTGCGACTCAGCCAATCCACCCGTGTCTTCATGATCAGGCGGCGCGTAAACTGGGATGCCGGGACCCGGGACGCGCAGGCTGAGCCAGCGTGTGGTGGTGGTGGAGATTTGCCTGACTGGAGGTTTATGGTACAGTTGTTGCATCTGAACTGAGAAGGTCATCGTCGAAGATGGGCCTGCACTGTTAAAGTGCTCCAGACTCCACTGCGGTGTGCGTGCGTGCAGTTCCCAGAGGTCCGACAGCGTTGTGGCCGCATCCACCGGAGGGAATACATCCACCTCGGGTTGGCCTGTCGGGGGACATCGCACTTCGAGGAGGAGCGGCTTCGCGGCGAACTGACGCGCATGTTCTTCAGAGCGGAAGT